TTGTGCACATAGGGTTTAAGTTTTGATTTATTCAATATTTGTAGAGTTATTGCCCTTGACTTGGTTGGAGATAAAGAAGCATGCATTGAACAACAAAAAAAATCACCATTAGGAGACATAGTTTCATGACAGGAAGTTAAAGGTCAAGGTATTACCTAGTGGTAAAACGGGCATATCATTCTGTGCAATTTGCATTTATGTTCCTTTTTATGCTCCCCTTCGAAGAAGAGGGGGTATATTGTTTTGCTACTGTTGCTCGGTCTGTCTGTCGGTAGACCACATGGTTTCCGCTGATTATCTTGAAAAGTATCTATCACAAAGTCTTCATATTTCACATAGTGATTGGTCATAACAAGTAAATGACCCCTATTGATTTTGGGGTCACACCCCTATTGATTTTGGGGTCACTAAGTCAAAGGTCAAGGTCACATGGACGTTAAATATCAAAATGGTTTCCGCTGATTATCTTGAAAAGTATGTATAACAAAGTCTTCATATTTCACACAGTGATTATTCATAACTAGCAGATGACCCCTATTGATTTTGGGGTCACTAGGTCAAAGGTCTAGGTCACAGGGGCCTTAAATGTCAAAATGGTTTCCACTGATTATCTTGAAAAGAATGTATCACAAAGTCTTCAAATTTCACATAGTAATTGGTCTTCACTAGTAGATGACCCCTATTGATTTGGGGGTCACTAGGTCAAAGGTCAAGGTCAAAGGGGCCTTAAATGTCAAAATGGTTTCCACTGATTATCATGAAAAGTATGTATCACAAAGTCTTCAAATTTCACATAGTGATTGGTCATCACTAGTAGATGACCCCTATTGATTTTGGGGTCACTAGGTCAAAGGCCAAGGTCACAGGGACCTTAAAATGTCAAAATGGTTTCCGCTGATTATCTTGGAAAGTTTGTATCACAAAGTCTTTATATTTCACATATTGATCTGTCATCACTAGTAGATGACCCCTATTGATTTTGGGGTCACTATGTCAAAGGTCACAGGGACCTTAAATGTCCAAATTGTTTCTGCTGATTATTTTGAAAAGTATTTACTGTAAATCCGGTATTTTTCGCGATGTTTTAAATTTCGCTATTATTCGCGACTCGGCCACGTCGCGAATTCATGATGCCGCGTAAATTTTATAACATAACATACATTATAAAAAATAAATCTTATGAATACATGCATGTAAAACACAAAAAGAGACAATATCCACAAATTTTACACTTTACAGACAAATGTGAACACATATTGTTTAGATGACAATAGATTTACAGTAAAATAGTGATCAACGGACAATTTTCATACGGTAGATTAAGTATTATAAACAAGTATATAACACCTTCTTACAGACTTTGAACGTTTTATCAAACACGCTATTTGCAAACAAAAAACAAATTTGACAAATGATTAGAAAAACCGTTCATAATAAGTCAATTACATGTATGAAAGTACATTTTGTATATAAAATAAATAAGTAAAAACCGTCTCTTATTAACACCATTAACATTTACCTTGCATAAGAGCGACACAGTATAGGAATTAACTTCAACCTACCTTGTTATATTGAGGAAATGAAATTCAAATAATCGCGAATATTAATTTCTGACCCTGCCATCGCGAATTCATGAATACGCGAAATAATCCGAGGGTGGGGTTTTCGCGAAATAAAGATCACGCGAATATAAAGTGATTTACAGTATCACAAAATATTAATATTTCACACAGTGACTGGTCATCACTAGTAGATGACCCCTATTGAGTTTGGGGTCACTAGGTCAAAGGTCAAGGTCACATGGGCCTTAAATGTTGAAATGGTTTCTGCTGATTATATTGAAAAGGATGTATCACAAAATATTAATATTTCACACAGTGATTGGTCATCACTAGTAGATGACTCCTATTGATTTTGGGGTCACTAGGTCAAAAGTCACATGGACCTTAAATATCAAAATGGTTTCCGCTGATTATCTTGAAAAGTATGTATAACAAAGTCTTCATATTTCACACAGTGATTATTCATAACTAGCAGATGACCCCTATTGATTTTGGGGTCACTAGGTCAAAGGTTAAGGTCACAGGGGCCTTAAATGTCAAAATGGTTTCCACTGATTATCTTGAAAAGAATGTATCACAAAGTCTTCAAATTTCACATAGTAATTGGTCATCACTAGTAGATGATCCCTATTGATTTGGGGGTCACTAGGTCAAAGGTCAAGGTCAAAGGGGCCTTAAATGTCAAAATGGTTTCCATTGATTATCATGAAAAGTATGTATCACAAAGTCTTCAAATTTCACATAGTGATTGGTCATCACTTGTAGATGACCCCTATTGATTTTGGGGTCACTAGGTTAAAGGCCAAGGTCACAGGGACCTTGAAATGTCAAAATGGTTTCCGCTGATTATCTTGGAAAGTTTGTATCACAAAGTCTTTATATTTCACATATTGATCTGTCATCACTAGTAGATGACCCCTATTGATTTTGGGTCACTAGGTCAAAGGTCACAGGGACCTTAAATGTCCAAATTGTTTCTGCTGATTATTTTGAAAAGTATTTATCACAAAATATTAATATTTCAAACAGTGATTGGTCATCACTAGTAGATGACCCCTATTGAGTTTGGGGTCACTAGGTCAAAGGTCAAGGTCACATGGGCCTTAAATGTTGAAATGGTTTCTGCTGATTATATTGAAAAGTATGTATCACAAAATATTAATATTTCACACAGTGATTGGTCATCACCAGGGCTCGACATTAACGGTTGTCCGACTGCCCGGGACAACTTAAAGTTTGGTCCGGGCAAGTTATCTTGAAAAGTATTCATCACAAAGTCTTCATATTTCACCTAGTTATTGGTCATAAGTAGTAGATGACCTCTATTGATTTAGGTCAAAGGTAAATGTCACATGGGCCTTAAATGTCAAAATGGTTTCCCTTGATTTTTCCATAATTGAACACTTCCATGTGCCCATTTTTGGCAAGTTTCTGTAATAAAATTACCAATTATGTGAGTCAATGGCTAGAAAGGAGGGTATATGGGTCATTGGACATTCTTGGTTTTATTTATATCACCAGATCATATCTTATTGTTGTTTGAAATTGTGCAGTCTACTTTACTTTTTAATACCAAAGCAACTTGCCAGAAACCTAATGTTATTAATGTGAGCATAAGCAATAAGCCAACTCTCACAAAATTTCTATGCATCAACAATCTGCACTTTACTACTTGACTGATCAAGGGAATTTATAGCTTCTGGGAGTTTGATTATCTAGTGCACATTTTTATCGCATTGTAATGATATAGTGAGTTACATGTATGTCACTTACAGGTCTCCATAGTTTTATCCTCGTTAGCCAGAGTATTTTAAAATGCCTTTTTGCAGTTGAATAGCGAATTGAATAGTTCAGTAGCTAATTTTAGCTAATATAATGGTTTGTGTCATCCAATTGAAAATAAAATGACCGAGATATTTCAGTTTGAAATTCATGCTGTATACACTGACCAATTTACTGACCGTATTGTACAATGGACAACAAATCTGAAATTAAAGCAAGCCTGACGTGTCTGGCTGCAATAAATATATAAAATAGATTGAATGGTGTTATGGATCTTCAGTCAATTCAAAGTGCAACAGTTTTAGCTCGTCATTGAATGTTGTCCATCCACATTTGTTCATTAACACTCTAGCAGCCACAATTTTGACTCGATCATCATCAAACTTTGTCAGGATGCTTGTTTAGGTAATAACTTAGATGAATTTGTACATGGGACATCTCAGATGAAAAACTAGGTCACAGGAGCTAAAATAGAATAAGAATTATGAACACTAGTGGCTACTGATTTGATCCAAATATCCTGAAATTTGGTCTGAAAGTTTATTTTGATGGTTTCTAGGTCAGGTTTGAATATTGGTTACCTTGGGTCAAAAACTATGTCACACTGCCCTAATATAGAAAAACCTTGTAAACACTCTAGGGGTCACAATTTTGACTCAATTGTCTTCAGACTTTGTCTGAGTGCTTGTCTAGGTAATTGCTTGAATGATTTCGAACATGGGTCATCTCGGATGAAAAACTAGGTCACAGGAGCTAAAAATAGAAAATTATTTTTAAGACTAGTGTCTACTGTTTTGATCCAAATATCTTGAAAATTGGTCTGAAATTTATTTTTAATAATTTCTAGGTCAAGTTTGAATATGGATTACCTTGGGTCAAAAACTAGGTCATATGTCCTAATATGGAAAATCCTTGTTAACACTAGTGGTCACATTTTTGACTCAATTGTCTTGCCTTGGTCAGGGTGCTTGTTTATGTAATTGCTTGGATGCGTTCAAACATTGGTTATCTTGGATGAAAAACAAGGACACATGAGTTAGAAATATAAAAATCTTGTTAACACTCTAGTGCCTACTGTTGTGATCCAAATATCCTGGAAATTGGTCTGACAGTTTGTTTTGATGATTTCTAGGTCAAGTTTGAATATGGGTTACCTAGGGTAAAATAAAATAGGTGCCATTGCCCAAATATGGAAAAACCTTGTTTACACCCTAGTGTTCAGAATTTTGACTCAATCATCATTAAACTTGGTCAGTATGCTTGTCTAGGTAATAATGTTAGGCTGAATTTGAACATGGGTCATCTGAAATGGAAAACTAGGTCACACCCCCCAAATGTGATAAAACCATGTTAACATTCTAGTGGTCACATTTTTGACTCAATCATAAAACTTTGTCAGGATGTGTTTCTAGGTAATTGCTCGCATAAGTTTGAACATGGGTTATCTCGGATGAAAAACTAGGTCACAGAAGTGAAAAAATAGAAAATTCTGGTTAACACTCTAGTGGCTACTGTTTTGATCCAAATATCCTGGAAATTGATTGAAAGTTTGTTTTAATGATTTCTTAGTCAAGTTTGAATATGAGTCACATGGAGTCAAAAACTAGGTCACACCACCCTAATATAAAAAAACCTTGTTAATGCACTAGTGGTCACATTTTTAGCTCGACTATTCGATAAGAATAAGTAGAGCTATTGCAGTCACCCGAGCGTCGGCGTCGGCGTAACCACTTATGTTAAAGTTTTTGTAATAGTTCAAATATTTTCAAAGTCCATTGACATATGGCTTTGAAACTTTGCACACTTGTTCACCATCATGACCCCAACCTGTAGACAGGAGGAGGTAACTCTATCAAGCATTTTGACAGAATTATGCCCCTTTTTCGACTTAGAATTTACGTTAAAGTTTTTGTAATAGTTCAAATATTTTCAAAGTCCATAGACATATGGCTTTGAAACTTTGCACACTTGTTCACCATCATAACCATAACCTGTAGACAGGAGGAGGTAACTCTATCAAGCATTTTGACAGAATTATGCCCCTTTTACGACTTAGAATTTATGTTAAAGTTTTTGTAATAGTTCAAATATTTTCAAAGTCCATTGACATATGGCTTTGAAACTTTGCACACTTGTTCAACATCATGACCCCAACCTGTAAACAGGAGGAGGTAACTCTATCAAGCATTTTGACAGAATTATGCCCCTTTTTCGACTTAGAATTTATGTTAAAGTTTTTGTAATAGTTCAAATATTTTCAAAGTCCATTGACATATGGCTTTGAAACTTTGCACACTTGTTCAACATCATGACCCCAACCTGTAAACAGGAGGAGGTAACTCTATCAAGCATTTTGACAGAATTATGCCCCTTTTTTGACTTAGAATTTATGTTAAAGTTTTTGTAATAGTTCAAATATTTTCAAAGTCCATTGACATATGGCTTTGAAACTTTGCACACTTGTTCACCATCATGACCCCAACCTGTAAACAGGAGGAGGTTACTGTATCCAGCATTTTTTTTACTATCAAGCACTAAGAATAGTCGAGAGTTGCTGTCCTACTGACAGCTCTTGTTTACTCTGTTGTCATCAGACTTGGTCAGGATGCTTGTCTAGGTAATTGCTCAGATGGTCACCTGGGATCAAAAAAACTAGGTCACACTGCTCAAATATTGAAACACCTTCTTAACACTTTTTTTGACACAACTGTCATGGGACTTGATCAGGTTGCTTGTCCAGGTAATTGCTTGATGAGTTTTGCCATCTTGGCTCTCTTGTTATAAAATGAAGCAGTTACAAAGTTTGAACCTGGTGACAGAACTTCTTAATGACCAGATTGTAATTAAGAACTGAAATGATATTGTTTTTATTTTAACATGCTACATCTCAGTTGTCCCAATACTTGTACTTTCCCCATAAATTGTTGAACTAAACTGATAATGTGTTGGCTGGATATTAATATTTTAATTTACCATTTTTATCAATTTTATATTGATGCAAACATTATATGCAAGTCTTGTTAGTAAACCTGAAGAAGTGAAGAACTGATATGTATTTAACATTTTGTTGTTTTTAGCTCGACTATTCGAAGAATATGAGAGCTATTGTAGTCGCCCCGGCGTCGGCGTCTGCGTTGGTTAAAGTTTTTTGTAAAGTCAAATATCTCAATTATTGCTTGAGATATTCAATTGAAACTTACAATACTTATTTATAGTAACAAGGTACATCAGATTGACAAGTTGGATAACTCTACCTACAATATTGACAGAATTATGCCCCTTTTTAACTTAGAAATTTTGGTTAAAGTTTTTGTAAAGTCAAATATCTCAGTTATTGCTTGAGATATTCAATTGAAACTTACAATACTTATTTATAGTAACAAGGTACATCAGATTGACAAGTTGGATAACTCTGCCTACAATATTGACAGAATTATGCCCCTTTGAAACTTAGAAATTTTGGTTAAAGTTTTTTTGTAAAGTCAAATATCTCAATTATTGCTTGAGATATTCAATTGAAATTTACAATACTTTTTTATAGTAACAATGTACATCATTTTGCAAAATTGCATAACTCTGTCTGCAATATTTGCAGAATTATTTGCCCCTTTGAAACTTAGAGATTTTGGTTAAAGGTCTTCAAAGATATTTACTTGAAACTTTACACATGTACTTAGGGTCATAATTTTAGGGTCATAATTGTATGTCACTGACCAAGTTCCATAACTCTATCTTGCATTAAGGCTGATTCATATCCCCTTTTCTACTTAGTATCTTGGTTAATGTTTACATGCAAGTTTTACATATCTCAATAACTATTAAAGATATGTATTTAAAACTTCACATATACATTTAGGGTCAGAATTGTAGGTCACTGACAAAGATCCATAATTCTATCTTGCATTTAGGCTGATTTTTCTTCCCTTTTTCAACTTAAAAAATTCATGGTAAAGTTTTGCTTGTAAGCTGTTATCTCCATAACTACTGAAGGGTTTGTGCCTTTTT